TGTTTTTGCCCCCCCCCCCCCCCCCCCCCCCAAAAGAAAAGAAAAAGAAAACCAAAAAACTTTTTAGATGACCTATAGAACTCAAATGCAGGGAGCAGTATTTTTGGAAGTAATGTTTCAGGTTTGTGTTTGAAAGGTGCTGTGTCACAGCATGTCATCCTTAAATGCTATAGTAATTGTAGCCATTGTACAAAAATATCTTGGATATCTGTTATTTTAGCCTGAATAGCTTACTAAGGACATTGATCCTTACATGAACTACATAGGTGGTGATGTATAAACCGAAGAAGAAAATCTGTTGATGATTTTGGCGTTTTTTAACTTTCTTTGGAGTGTTATCTTAAAATAGGTCCCTTTTAATTATGTTATGTGGTTAAGATCCATTGCAATTCTTAGAAGCTTTCTGGGAGGAAATATGCAATAGGAAAAAAAGTCTATATTATGTATCTTCTGTTTGGCTTTGCGCAGTAAGTTACCCCACTCAAAAATGTACTCATAATTATGCCTTATGCTCCTTTGGTAAAAATAGTGATGGTAACTTAAAAAAAAAAATCTAGTTTTGAATCGTGGCTAAAACCAACTTTTTTTTTAACTTCAACTTTTCATAGGTCATGGACCAGAAAGAACACAAACTGAATGGAAAGGTGATTGATCCTAAAAGAGCTAAAGCCATGAAAACGAAAGAACCCGTTAAAAAGATTTTTGTTGGTGGCCTATCTCCAGACACACCTGAGGAGAAAATAAGGGAGTATTTTGGAGGTTTTGGGGAGGTAGGTAACAGCTGATTTAACCTACTTCTTTTTTAGGGGCTGTTGGCCTTGAAATTTGTAAATTTGTCAGTGGTACTCTTCATTTGTGTTTCTTAATTATTGAGGCTAATGTTATTTGCCTGACAGGGACCTAGTCATAGTAGCTGAATTATTTTTAAATTGGCCTCATTCTCTTGCCCACTTCTCTGATTTTATTCAAGGGAGAAAAAAATACTGCTGTTCTGTCTTTTTAATATGTGGTAAATATAGTATTGGCCAATCTAAGTTCCTGTAACATTACTTAAACCAGCATTAGAAGCTGTCTACTTTTACAGTAGCCTGGAAAATGGAAGCTTTCAGTTATTGCCAGTGCAATAAATAAAATTGTCAGGGAACCTGGCTACCAAGTGATCATGCTGTAACTGGTTTGGGGTTGTGTGATCCCAGCATGTGCTCCTGCCAGTGGCGGGGGGGTCAGACTAGATGATCTGTTCAGATCCCTTCTGACCCCAACTACTATGAAACTGGTTACAAACAGTTCAGTTTGCAATGTACCACTGACCGTAATTGTCTTCACTAAAATTTGGACTTGTAACTTGGTTGAAGAGACATCTTATAACTAGGTATGCTTATTTAGTGAATTTTGTAAAATTGTTCTTGTAACATGGGTTTAGAAATACAATGGTTAATAAGAATATCAAGGTGCCGAAAATTACAACTTTACTGTAGCAAAAGTAGCTAAGTAGACGTTCTAAAAACTTGAAACATTTAATATCTGTAGTGGTTCTAACAAGATTAAGGTCAAGTTGGAAGTAAGTTTTAGGTGCAGTATAAACATTCTTCGGGTACTGTATTTATTCAGGTACTCTTATGAAGGAAGATTAGATGCCTCTTTCCTAACTAGTGCTTAAATGTGCTGTAATGTTTTCCTATGAATTTGAATCCTTACTCCAAAAAACTGAGAAGTACAGTGAAGGAAATTCCTCTTGTGATTATGTATTGGATAGATTTTAGTAAGTTATATCTGAACTTATGCAAAAGATTGCATAACACACAGTTTCTTTTGACGGCAAAAACATCTAAAGTATATGTGGGCCATGGATGGATGGATATCATCTGTTGTAGCATTCCAAAAAGTGTATGTACAGATATGCATCCCACCCTTTGTGTGACTGAAATGTTTCTTTTAAAAATAGGAATTTCTCTATAGTGCTGTTTTGTTATGCTATTTTTAATGTTTGTAGAGTTGCATGTAGTGCTAAGGTTGGGGGGTCCCTTGCTCCCCCAGCATCGTACAGTGGCTCTGCTCTTCCATTATTCACCCTCTTTCCCCTCCAATTGGGGAGGAAGAGGGTGACGGGGACAGGTTTGAGGACAGCTCTTGCCACTGCCCATGCAGCCACCCTCTGTGGAAGGTGGCAAACTATCGGAGCCCACTTTTGTTTCGAACTCTAGGGCTATAGTACATGTAGTGCTACAAATGTACACCTGGCCATGGAAATTTGTTACTTGGCAAGCTGGTTAGCTTGTGTGAATTTCATGAATGTAAATGCGATTATTTGACTTATAAATAACACCGAGTTGTTTAAATTGAGGGTTTTTGTTGTTTGTTTTTTGTTTTTGTTTTGTTTTGTTTTTATCACCAGGTGGAATCTATAGAGCTCCCTATGGACAACAAAACCAATAAAAGGCGTGGATTCTGCTTTATTACTTTCAAGGAGGAAGAACCAGTAAAGAAAATAATGGAAAAGAAATACCACAATGTTGGGCTCAGTAAGGTATGCTGAAATTTTAGTTAAGGAGTCCTACAACTGCTTCTAGTAATGGAGCAGATAATTTTCTGTATGTGAATGTCATAAATAATTGCTTTAATTCAGGAGTAATATCCTGAGAATGTGTAGGCTAGCCTTGGTGAGGCATCTTTGGCTATGTTGCTACAGAGGCAAAAAATGTTCTAGGAATCATGATGTGTGTTTGGGTACCCTTTTTCATCCTAACTTGTTTGTTTTTCCTTTGGATGCAGGATTCTAACTCCTTCACTTCTCTGTCTCCCTTGTTAAGTTCCTGGCCTCAAACACAATAGTCATCCTCTTCTTTCAGGGGCTTTGCAACATGTTTTCCCATGGCCCAGGATTCTCACTCGCAGGGCTTGGTGCACCATTTTTCCCTGCTAAACATATGTGAGACTTCAAGCTCTCGCTTACTTTCTTGCAAGTTCCTGCATCTTTCAGAGGTGGTTACAGTTCCATCAAGAATTCCCTTAGAATTTCTTGTCTGCAACCTTGCTTGCCCTTTTTACTCTGGGTATCACCTAAGTTTTATCTGCACTTCTGGAATGGTTTGCATTGCATTATGCTGGCAGACTGCTATCACGTACTTGCATCTTGGATTAATTGTTCATGGACATGGGATGCTTTCTTTGGGATAACCATTTAAGACCATGAGGGTGAAAATTTTTTTGGAACGCTACTGAAGTGACATAAAAATTTACTTGATTGGATGCTAAACTGCTGTAGTTCGGAAGCTCTGTCACTTGTGTGATTATTGATGATTGGGGATCTGGGTTTTCCACTTGCTACAAAAAAAAGCAATAAAACCTGGATTTTCTCCTTTAAAGGAAGAGAAACACAGAAAATGGTGGGTTTTCCCCCATGCAGGCTGGCAGAGTTCCATCCTGCAAGGGGCTTGCAGGAGTGAGAAAAGGGTGATCAGCAGGGGGTACCATGTGCATATGCACACATATGCATGTGCATGGCCAGCCCACAGCCTAGAGAGCAGCTCCCATAGGTGAGTTGGGGTGGGGGTTGAAGCCCACATAGTGAAGGACAGAGGGAGTTGGGCCCGGGTGGAGGAGGTCTCTGCAGCTTGGTGGGTGGGACCTGCAGTAGCATGGTGGCATGGGAAAGCTTGTTACAGCCAACACAAGCCCTTTGCCACCCTGGTGATGCACACCCTGGGTGCCTTGCAGTACTGGCATGTGGTTGTGCCCCTGGCTGCTGCCAGGCAGGCTGGGGGCACCTCACTATGGTGGTGTAGAGCTCCTAGTGATGGCAATGAGCTTCCACTCCCCCCTTTGACCCACACTCTGCCTTGCTGCACCAGATTCCACTTGCTGGGCTACAGAGCCCAAGCCTGGCCGTGCTGCCTGTGGGGAGGGGGGAGCTGGGTTTTACTACTGTGCTGCAGCAGCCCAGGCTTGGGTGGTTGCAGACCCCGGTCCCTAGCCTTGTAGCCCTGGCAGCTGGGGGCCCTCTGGCAGGGTTGGGGCAATGGCATGGGCAGGGCACTGGCATATCAAGGCTGCTCAGCACCACAAAGCAGTAGCTGGGCAGGGGGGGGAAGCAGCCATAGCTGGACCCATGTCTTGTTGGGTGAAGAGGGCAGGGGGAGCTCTGGTTTTGGGGTTTTTTCCCCATAATAAACCCCAGATCAGGTACCAAAGTATATAGGTATTTCAAATTTATTTTATTATAGTAATTGAGGCATTGGTTGGCTTCCAAATTGATATATTTACAATTTTAAATCAATAAAATTGTGTTCAACTGATACAGGTGTGTATTTATAATATAAAAGTGTGTGGATGGGGGGAGTTAATTAGAGAAATTACGTGCTTTTTTTTTTTTTAATCAAAGTTTGTGATTTTTAAACACGGGGAAAACCAGGATCCCTGTTGATTTTTGGAAGGAAAAAAATAACTAAAAAAAAATTAAATTTTACATAGTTCAGTATATAGGCTGAGAACTAAGTTGTGCTCAGACTAAAACTGAGTAAAACTAAGGTTGCTTTCCAAACTCAGGTTTGTTTCCAGTATTCTAAGACTAAGGCAGGGGTGGGCAAGATGTGGCCTGCCAGGCCATTGTATCTGGCCCACAGGGCCCTTAAATTGAGAAAATTAATGTTTATTTGCCCCTGGCTGTCCATCATGCGGCCCTCGATGGCTTGCCAAAACTCAGTAAGCGGCTCTCAGCCCGAAATAATTTCCCGCCTCTGTTCTAAGGCTTGAAATTCAGATGAAGAATGAAATGGAAACAGTTCTTTGAGAGCTGTTGTCACTAGCAAAAGTGATATCGTTGTTTTTTCCTTCTACAAATGTGTAAATCCACTGTTTAGGTTGCAGTAGCATTTGATTTTTATCCGGTATGGTTAATTTAAATTCTCCACTTATCTCTTTTTATAACTCATTGGTTGCTTAAAATTTTAAAGACTTTTTTTTCTCATTAATAGATTCTGGCTCTGACTTCCTTTTTTTTTTTTTTTTTCTCTCTTTAGTGTGAAATAAAAGTAGCCATGTCAAAGGAACAATATCAGCAGCAGCAGCAGTGGGGAAGCAGAGGTGGATTTGTTGGACGAGCTCGCGGAAGAGGTGGTGGTAAGTTCATGCTTAACTCCGACCTGCTTGTTTTAGCACGAGAAGTGTTTCAGTATTCTCACATCTGGTAACTTATGCTGCAGGCCCCAGTCAAAACTGGAACCAGGGATATAGTAACTACTGGAATCAGGGGTATGGCAGCTATGGCTACAATAGTCAAGGGTACGGTGGCTATGGAGGATATGACTACACTGGTTACAACAACTACTATGGATACGGTGATTATAGCAGTAAGTACTAAAATTGTGTTATCTGACTTCTGCTTTTAAACTTCCGTTGTGAACAGGGAGGGCTCTGAGCATGGTAAAGAATTTAAACTACCTTGAGTATGCAGCCAAAAACTTTTTAATTTCTATCTCGCCTACTTCTGTTATACGCCAGCCCTATATTTTTGGGCTCATCTCAAGTAGTGTCGACATCTGGATTTGTCAACATCGGTAGAGCATAAAGTGATGCTGACCTCCACTTCTGGCCTTCAGGGCTTTTTCAGTGGATTATTTTTTTTTTTTTATTTTTTTTTTTTTTTTTTTTTTTTTTCCCCTGTGGGTTATCCTGCTGACAAGCTGTGGAACTGTTTTGTATCCTCCCATACAGGGATTTGTGTCAGTGCGACGTCACTTTA